TTATAAATTTCAAGAAAAAAATTATTGAACTTTGAAAAAATGACTTTTGTAATTTTTAGAAATAGTGAAATTTCAAAAATGCGTTGCATTGAAATCATTTGAAATATTTTAATTCCTGTATTCAAAATAAATAGGTATTAAAATATTTATTTAAAAAAATTATTCTATTTTTGAATGCAATTAAGAAATTATAAAAAATTGAGTCGTCAAGTTTAATTCTTCGATAGCTATTTTTTTACTACACTTTTTTCTGTCTTTAAGCTACTTTTTGCTACTTTTTTAAATTATCATGTACAAAGCCAGAAATTAATAATCATAAAGTTAATAATTATAAAATTTATTCTGGAAATGGTACAATTTAACAGAAATTCGAAACAGTTTGCGTTCTACTTAGTAAGTTGTAAAAGTTATTTTATCCTATTTGTTACCTTGTTTAAAAATAATTTCTAAATTTAAAAACTCTGGAGAAAATAATATAAAAAGATTTTCAACTTTTAAGAAACTAAAATTTTTCCCAAGTTTGTAAAAAGTAGAAGTTTCTTTTCTGCAATTAAAAAAATTTGTACCCTACAAAAAAAAATGACAAAATACAAAAAAATTGAAGTTTTTCTTTAAAAGAAAAGGAAAAAGGGAAAAATATCCATGCTACTGTGTTTTAGGGATTTTTATTAATTTAAGAGAGTAAAAAAAGGGAAAAAGAGTAAAAAAAAAAAGTACACGATTCCTGTATTCGAATCCCACCACTACTATTTCAATATCATTCCAATGAAACCAACTTAAAGAATAGAATAATATATATATATTTAATTAGAGAACGTAGGTATTTTGAAAGGAAAAGTAAATTTTAATTAAGTTATCAATTAACGATGTAAAGAAGAAAGAAGAAAAAAAAAGTAAAAAAAACGAAGAAATGATCTGTAAAGTAATTCAGAATGTTCGCTAACCATTTGATTTGAAACAGTTCATTACTACACAGGGATCGATTAAGTCATTTCATCTAATCGCACTCTGCGATTACGACTACGTTGACTGCAATGGTTTTCTGGGAACGAGTGGAAAAATATAAAAGGATGGAAGGGAAAGGAACTAACTTTCCAGTTCAATCGGACGGAAACTTCCAGTTAATCGGCCATATACCTTCAACTCGATCACGATTCTCTTGGGGATTCTCTTTAAGAGTATAACGTCGATTAAAACAACTTTTATTTTCCTAACTTGTATAAAATAAACTCATCATAAATATCTGAATGATCTGAATGTAATAGCATTACTGTAATATATTTACACACATGAAAGTTTCAATTAATTTTATAAGGAGGAACTTAAGAATTAAACTAAAAGGTCTTTAACCTTTAGAGGGCCAGGACGAATCTTTTTATCGAATTGACTTCTTATTTATAATTTTTTTTTAAACTACTAAAATTTATGCAAATTTACCGGCCCCATAAGATTAAAAGTAAAAGTAGTCTTTAAAATTCCCAACTAGATGTATTTTTTTAATTAATTAATTTAAGAATTTCTTTAATTGTAAAATTATTCGAAAATATCAATAACTTCAAATTCAAACCTTTTGAAATTCAATAACTTGAAAGAATATTATTATAAAACATGAAGAAATGGATCACTCCGAATCTTCGACTCGGAGTGATCCATTTCTTCCTGTTTTTTAGTAATTAAAGATAACCGAGTAATAAAATCATTATTTTATATTATAATATAAGAATGTTGTTACTGTAACTTCTTTAAAATTATTTCCATCGTTTCAATTCAATTATTATTTTCTAAAAATTTAAAATAATATTCTACTTTAAATCAAGTTTTAATTATTTTTGAAAAACTTCTTCTTTGACAATTTTTAAATCCATTTGTTTACAATTCTATTATACGTAAAATTTTAATTATTCGGAAATTCTTCAATTAAATATACATTAGAAAATAAAAACATTAAATAATTTTAAAAAATTGCAATTAAGCTTTTTGAAAATAAAATTACTTCCATATTTTTAATTAAAAGTATAAAAAATTCAAATTTTCAAAGATTTTAATTTAAAACTTTCACAAAATTCAATTATTTCTAAACAATTGCAATTATTAGTAACTTCTCCAAAATTCAATTATTATCTAAAACTTTAACTGAAATTCATTTATAAATCAATTATTATTAGAAAATTCTATGAGAATTCAATTATTTAAAAACAAACATAGATAATTTAGTGAATAATTAAATGTTTCTTAAAATTGAATATTAATAATTGAATAATTAAAATTGAATCTTATACATTTTTAAGAATAATTCTTTTTTTCAAGGAATATGATTGAAATTTTATTAAAAATAATTAAAATTCTGCAATGAGCTTTATTATTTGTGAAAATAATTCAATTCCTAAAAAGAATTTTCTTATTTAAGACAATAATTGAATCCTTGTAAAAATTGTATTATTTATGAAAATAATTAAATTATTGCGAAGAAATTTTTCAAAAAAATTGTAAATAATAATTGAATTCCTATGAAATTTTTATTATTTAAGAAAATAATTGAATTTATTTTATTAAAATTTATTGTAAATAATTGCATTTTTTTTAGAAAATTTTATTAAAATACTAGATATTAAAAATAATTGAATTGGAGAAGATTTTTGAAAAAAATTAAAATTTTGCCAATTTTGAAAATAAAACCTTTTCAAAATTCAATTATTTCTAAAAATTCAGGTTTAAATGTCTCTTAATATTGAATTATTATGTAAAATCTGAACTAACAGTCATTTTTGAATCAATTTTTATTTTTTATTAAAAAATTCTACTAGAATTCAATTATTTAAATACAAAAATAAATAATTTATTGAATAATTAAATTTTTCTTGAAATTGAATTCTTATACATAATTCTATCAACAAATTTTTAAATAATTGAATTCTTTCGACGAATTTTAATAACATTTTAAAAATAATTACAGTTTTTAAGGAATTCGATTGAAATTTTATTTAAAATAATTAAAATTTTTCAATGAATTTTATTATTTACAAAAATAATTAAACTATTACGAAGAATTTTATAATAAAACTTTCAAACAATTAGTTTTTTTTTAAATGTCTGTAAATTCTATTTTTAATAATTCAATTCCTGTGAAATTTTTATTTGCTTAAAAAATAATTGAATGTTCATGTTAAATATTGTCAAAATTTTTGTTTAATAATTGAATTCTTTTGGGAAACATTATTAAAATAGTAAAATATTGAAAAATCATTGAAATAATAAAAATTTTTTTGAAATAATTGATATTTTGCCATGAATTTTATTGAAATCTTTGAGAATAATTAAATTTTGTTACTTTTAAAAATAATTGAATTCTTGTGACGAATACTATTATTTATGAAAGTAATTGAATTTTCCAATGAATTTTATCAAAATTCCTGAAAATAATTGAATTTTGTCGAAGAATTTTGCTATTTATTTATAAAGATAAGTAATTTAAATGTTGACAATTTTTTTGGATGCTTTTAAAATAATTGAATTTCTGAGAAGAATTTTATTAATTTTGAAAATAATTGAATTCTTGTGATAAGTATTGTTATCTATGAAAATAATTGAATTTTACAATGAATTTTGCTATTTATAAAGATAATTAAAATGTTGACGAGAATTTTTTAAACATTTTTGAAAATAATTGAATTTCTCGAAAGAAGTTTAATATTTATTAAGATAATTGAATTCTTTCATATAATTGCGTTAAAATTTTTAAAATTGAAACTAATTTCAACAAAATTGAAATTACAGTTTTTTTTTAAAAAGACACAAATTTTTAGAATTTTCTTATTAATTCTAAAAATTTAATTTTTTCCAGTAATTTTAATAAAAATCCCTGACTTTTCCCTGACCTGTGGCAACCATGCGTCCTTTAACAAAAATTCTTTCCTCTTTCATCTGTCAATTCATAGTTAATAAATAATGTTAAAAAAAATTCTTCAACTTGGAGGTGATTTTTGTTTGAAAATTATTTTTTCCCAAAAAAAAAATCACCTCAAGAAGAATTTTATTCTCAACATTATTTATTAACTATAAATTATTATCAAAAGTGAAAGCTCTCTACAACATTGACTCATATTTTATGTATCAAAGCCTCGCACAGACTTTTAGTTAAGGTCAATCTTTTGATGACCCAGAACAGATTAGCAGCCTACAAATTGTTATGATAAACTTGTTTTCTTGAAGAAAAAACAAAAAAAAATTTAGTAAAAATTCGAATTTAATAGGTCAAAGCAATAAAGTAATTATTATTGTACACATCTGGAAATAATTTAAAAGATATTAACTAATTAAGAAATTACCCTTATTAATTAACTTCTCATTCTATGTGTGTATAATTAGTAATAAAACATAATAAAGTGCATTTATTGTAACATATTATTAAGTCGATCGTAAAACGTTTTAATGGTAAACTCGTCAATGAATCTACATGATAATTAATCTACCACGAAGATTCATAAACTTAATTAGCATTAATATCATCACTTGCTGAAACTTTTTTTATGCAATAAAATAACATCGACATTTATGGTTTTATTAAATAATAATTTTTTGACTCTAATGACGATAAAAATAAATTTATAAAAATAGAAGATATATTAATAGTGATTAAAGGAACGAATCCATTGACCCTTTAACCTTATTAGTTACTTTTAAATATTTAGAATTTTAAATTTAAATCTTAATTGTAATTAAGTACATTTAAATCTTAAATTGTAATTGAATCACTCAGTAATTTAGATTAATTTCATTTCCGCATGTTAAATAAAATAGCAAAGTAGGAAGAGAAACTTAAAAAAAAGTTTTTAAATTTAAAAATAATTTATGACTTTTTAATTCAAGAGAAGAAACTCATATTTAAAGATAACATTGTCAGGGAAACAAAGCGAGCAAACAAATCAAATAAATTAATGTGTAAAAATAATTATACTTTTGACAATCTTAAAATAAATAATTATATCTTTATGTTTACTCACCACGTAGTATATAATTTTGGTAATTCTGATCAGCCTCGTTGCCAACTTTGATAAGACACGCCAGTCCATCATTTTGTACAAATTCATGCACTAGATCTTTATCTTCCTGCAAAAGAAATGGAAATTTATTTCAATTTTGATTAAAAGTTAACAGAGGATTCACACTTAAAAATAATTTTTTTCGTAATTCAATAAATATTTTTTTAATCTATTATCATTTTTAAGGAGTTATAGACAAAGAGGTCTTTGAAAAAATTGTTTATTTGCATTTTTTGAATGTAGTATATCTTAAAATATTAATATTTTTTAAGTTTGTTAAAAATATGAAGAAAAAAAAAAATAAAAAAAAAATATGAAATAAAAATAAAAAAAAAATATGAATATTTCAAAGAATTTCATTCAAATTTTTAAGAATAATTGCGTTTTAGCGGATAATTAATTTTAAATTATATTAAAAGTACCTAATTGAAATCCTGCGATGAGTTTTATTATTTATGAAAATAATTGAATTTTTGTCACCGAACTTTAATAAAGTTTTTAAAATAATTGAAATCTTGAGAAGAATTAAAAAAAATCTTTTTAAAGAAATAATTCTTTTCAAAAAATTTTATCAAAATTTAGTTTTAAATAATTGAATTTCTTTGAAACGATTCAATTATTTTGAAAAATTTTAAGAAAAGTTTTCGTGAGAATTCAATTATTTTCTCAAATAATGAAAATCTTCTGTGAAATTCAATTATTTTTAATATCTACTATTTTAATCAATTTCACAAAAGAATTCAATTATTTTTTAAAAAATGTAATAAAATTCTCTGCCAGAATTCAATTCTGTTTATAAAATATTAAAACTCTTCTCAGGAATTCAATTATTTTTAAAAAATTAAATAAAATTTGTTATAAGAATTTAATTATTTTCATAAATATTAAAACTCAACGCAGAATTTCAATTATTTTTAATACAATTTTAAATAAATTTCTCGAAAAATACAATTATTTTAAAAAATTTTATGAAAATTATACGAAAGAATTTAATTATTATAAAAAAATTTTGATATAATTGATATAATTTTGATATAATTTCCAAAAATTTTATTAAAATTCTTAGTAAACATTTAATTAATTTATTAAATTTGTCGAAATTCAATTATAAATAATTGAATTTTTGTCACCGAACTTTAATAAATAAATAATTCTTGAGAAGAATTTAATAAAAAACTTTTTAAAGAAATGATTTTTTTCAAAATATTTTATGAAAATTTTGTATTAAATAATTGTATGTCTTTGAAAATTGTATATTATTTATGAAAATAATTGAATTTTTTCAAAAAATTTTATTAAAATTGTATTGAAAACAATTCAATTATAAAGAATAATAAAATTTTTTAAAGTAATTAAATTCTTTTAAAGAATTTTCTTCAAATTTTTAAGAATATTTGCATTTTTCGCGGAATTTATTTAAAACTGTATTAAAAATAATTGAAATCCTGCGATGAGTTTTAATATTTATAAAAATAATAGAATTCTTACAACGATTATTATTATAATATTAAAAAATAATTGTCTTCCTGAAGAGAATTTTATTATTTATAAAAATGAATTGAATTTTTGCGAAGAATTTTATTATTTCTGAAAATAATTGAATTTTTGCCATCATTTTTTTGCAGATTTAGATTTTCAAATATTTTCAAAGATTTTAATTTGGAACCTTTCCGAATTCAATTATTTCTAAAAATTCACACTACAAAGATTTTTATATTCAATTATCTTAAATTTTAACTGAAATTGATTTTTAAATCTATTTTTATTAGTAAATTCTACGAGAATTCAATTATTTAAATACGAAAATAAATTATTTGTTAAATAATTCAATGTTTCTTAAAATTAAACTCTCGTAAAGAATTTTATGAACAAATTTTTAAATAATTAAATTCTTGCAAAGAAGTTAATTAATTTTTTTTTAATAATTCAATCTTATTAAAATTTTTTTAATTTATTCAATTCTTTTGTTGAATTTTTCATTAAAATAGTTGATATTAAAAATTATTGAAGTAGGAAAAATTATTGAAAATAATTGAATCGTTTTAAAGAATTTTTTTAAAATTATTTGAATTTTTACCATTGACTGTATTAATATTTTTTGAAATAATAGTTTTTGAAATAATATTTTTTGAAATAATATTTTTTGAAATAATATTTTTTAAAATAATATTTTTATTTTAACTGTTAACAAATTTAAAGTAGTGTAAATTCTAAAAAGAAATAGAAAAAAAGTATCTTTTAGTGTAGCAAATAAAAAAAAGTATCCAAATAGTAGCAAATCGTTAAAAAGTAGTAAATTCTGATATTCAAACAATTATAATATTAGAAAATTATTCCCTGTTTAATGAAAAAAAACAAAAAAAAAAATAATCAACGTTAAGTAATTGAATTTCATTGATAAGAATTTATTTCTCCACAGCACACTCTTATTCATTGGAGACTCACATACAGTGAAATTGAGATGAACCAATATGCTGGAATATTTGATTATTAATATTCAATTTCGCTTCTTAATCCAGAAGCTAATGGAGTTTGTGCACATATTCGAGTGCACACAGCAAGCATTTCATATCGGGATGAATTTACAGTGTGAAATCGTTGAATCGCGAGATTTGGAAAACGGAGTTTTAATCAAACATTACAGAATTCCTATTATCTTGCACCTTTTAAATGCAATCACATAATACAACTAATTTTATTTGGTCAACTGTAATTATTCCAGGGATTATTTTTTTCATTAGAAATTGGTGAAAAGGTGAATTATTTTCCAAAAAAAAAAAACAGGTGACAAAGAAGACAACAGCAACAAAAAATCGATAAAATAAAGTTGTATGCAAATTAAGATTCCCATTAATATTATTTTTTCTCGTAATTTTAATTTAATTTAATTTAATTTAATTTAATTTTAATTCTTGTAATTTTCTCGTAATTTTCTCGTAATTCACCGTGGAAAAGAAGTGCAATATGAAGTTAACTAAAGAAGTTGCGCAAGAAAGATTTATTTTAATCTAATTAATTATAATTATAACTTTCAGTTTATCGTAAAAATAGGCATTGAATCTCAAAGCTGTTTTAGTTCTTATGTCTAATATAGAATTTTTTTTATTAACAATAAACTTACCTGAAAGATTTGCTTAAGGGAGAAAAGAGCTCGTCTGAGTTCGCGGCCCTCGCTGTTCAGTAATTTTTCTGCAACAAACAAGCGAAGGAAACCATTTATTACAGTAATAGAACTGATCACAAAGTACTGTTATTTAACTTTCTTAAAATACAATGTTTCACAACGTCATTTATTTTAAATGGATTTTCCTATTTTTTGAAAAGCATTTTTTTCATTCAGTAATTTTGAAGTATAGGTACTTTGTTTTTTTACCTGCATTATTTATTATTTTTATTTACACTATAAAAAAAGGTTCTAAATTAGAGCTGATTTCAGTATTAAAATAGAACCAAATAATGATTTAGTACCAAAATTGGTACTAAATTATTACCTTTATTTTTACAGTGTATTATTAAAATTTTATTTATTTAATAAATAATTTAATTATTTTAATTATTTATTATAAAAGTTTTCAAAAATTACTTTTCCTGTAAAGAAAGAACAAAAAATATTCGAAATGACTTTAGCGTCTGTAAAAATTAAAAGAAAAAGTATTTGCACTTGGAACAGAGTCGAATATACACATCACCTTGAACATCAAATCAACTGCATACAGTTCCATTGTTGAGGAAAAATTTTCAAAGTATTGGCTCTTAAAACCTACATATATACAACTCGATTTCTATCCGCCTTTACAGTGCCAGTATTTATTATAGCCAGACAGAACTCTGACAGTCGATTTACCATTATACGCGGGTTACATAAGTTCACGTTGGGTGACTTATGACGTTGTTGGAAAAGAATGTCAGTATCCTTCCAACACTGGATTAAGAAGTTGCAAGTTCATTCATTGTTTCAAGTTTTCCATAAATTGTATAAAGACTTGCTTTTTAAAAGTCACAATATATGGGCAATTCCACGTGAGATTTCAGTCGACCTCTTAAAATCGGCCAAAAATATTTTTTTTCTATTCTGTATTGGAAAAAAACAGATACGTATTTTTTTATTATTTTTTTGTAGGCCAAATTTTTGAGTTATGAATTTTCAAAATTTTCGCTTTTTAAATGTAGGTATATTTTTAATGTCAGATAACTCAAAAAATATTGCTTCTTTTCATTTTTTGACAAGAGAAAAAAAGTTTTGTTTTTCTCTCTTCTTTTGAATAATCATAACAACAAATTTTTTTTTTCATTTTTTATTAAAAAAATAAAAAAATTTTATAAACTAATTAATTTTTTTTAACTTTGGGTATGATAAATTTTTAATTTTCTTTTTTTAAAACATACCTGGAAATGATAAGAAGGTTTTGCAAAAAGTTTCAGAGTGGGCCTGACAAGTTTGATGGGTCCAAAAAAATAATTAAGCTCTCCGTGCAGGTCGCACGCACGTGGCACAATTTGATTTTTTTACAATTTATTATTAAAAATTGTTTAGAGCCTAAAAATTCAAAAATAATCAAAATCCGATAAAATTTGTAGGCTCTAGACAATTTTTAATAATAAATTGTAAAAAAATCCCATTGTGCCACGTGCGTGCGACCTGCATGGACAGCTTAATTATTTTTTTGGACCCATCAAACTTGTCAGGCCCACTCTGAAACTTTTTGCAAAACCTTCTTATCATTTCCAGGTATGTTTTAAAAAAAGAAAATTAAAAATTTATCATACCCAAAGTTAAAAAAAATTAATTAGTTTATAAAATTTTTTTATTTTTTTAATAAAAAATGAAAAAAAAAATTTGTTGTTATGATTATTCAAAAGTAGAGAGAAAAACAAAACTTTTTTTCTCTTGTCAAAAAATGAAAAGAAGCAATATTTTTTGAGTTATCTGACATTAAAAATATACCTACATTTAAAAAGCGAAAATTTTGAAAATTCATAACTCAAAAATTTGGCCTTCAAAAAAATAATAAAAAAATACGTATCTGTTTTTTTTCAATACAGAATAGAAAAAAAATATTTTTGGCCGATTTTAAGAGGTCGACTGAAATCTCACGTGGAATTGCCCATATATAACATTCGATATTGGTATTAGCGAAACGCTATTTTGTAATCAGTCACAGTAGTTAAAAATTTTGGCATTATTTATTCTTCCACATATATATGCTATTGATTGTAATATATACTCAAAGTTCGCAAAGTGTGCAATGTCGAAACAATATATAAATGACTGCTCCTTGCCATTTATAAAATATTTTCTAAATTATCTCTTAATTTTTAAAAAATTATCCGCTATATTCGATTTGCAGCATTGTTATTTTAAATCTAACTTTATACTCGCAATCAGCGACTTCATAAATCCCTGAGTAACAAGTTTCATAAAAAAAAACTATCAATTTAAAAAGAATGTCCGCCATATTGGATCCGCCATTTTGAATTTTGAAAATCTGCCTTCTTTGCCATCAGCACCCATGAAAATTCAATATATAAATATTATCTAAAATTTTAACAGAAATACATTTTTAAAATAAATTTTTTTCTGAAAATTCTACTAGAATTCAATCTAAATACAAAAATAAATAATTTATTGAATAATTGAATGTTTCTTAAAATTCAAATTTTCATGAAGAATTTTATCAAAAAATTTTTAAGAATACTAATATTTTTCGAGAAATTTGATTAAAATTGTATTAAAAAAAAATTAAAATTCTGCGATCAGTTTTATTATTTGTGAAAATAATTGAATTCCTAAAAAGAATTGTATTATTTTAAAACATAATTAAATTTCTGCGAAGAATTTTATTACTTCTGAAAATAATTAAATTTCTACAATAATTTCTAACTAACTTCTACAAAATAACATTTTTCTTTAAGTGTTATTAACTAAAATTCTTTTATAAATCCATTATTTTTTATAATTTTTAAAAAAGTTCTTTGACAAATTATTCAAATCATTTATTTACAATTCAATTTTACGTAAAATTTCAATTATTCAGCAATTATTCAATTAAGTATCTATTAGAAAATAAAAACTTGAAATAATTTTAAAAAATTTCGATTAAACTGTTTGATAAAAATTATTTACTTAGAATTTTTGAATTAAAAGTATGAAAAATTCAGATTTTCAAATATTTTTATATGAAATCTTTACAAAATTTAACTATTTCTAAAAATTCACGCTCTATTGTTTTTAAATATTCAATTATAATCTAAAATTTTAACTAAAATTAATTTTTAAATAAATTTTTATTAGTAAATTCTAAGAGAATTCAATTATTTAAATACGAAAATAAATAATTTGTTAAATAATTCAATGTTTATTAAAATTGAATTCTGATAATAAATTTTATCAATAAATTTTTAAATAATTAAATCCTTAGGACAAATTTTAATAAATTTTTAAAAATAATTACATTTTTCGAGAAATTTTATTAAAATTTTTTTTCAAAATAATTGAAATTCTGCAATGAGCTTTATTATTTTAAAAATAATTGAATTCCTAAGAAGAATTTTATTATTTACGAAAATAATTGAATTTCTGTGAAATTTTTATTATTTTATGAAAATAATTAAATATTTGAGTAGAATTTTATTAAATTTCTTTTTAATAATTGAATTCTTTTGGAAAATTTTATTAAAATAGTAAATATTAAAAATCATTGAATTGTGGAAAATTTTTGAAAATAATTGAAACTTTTACAAGACATTTATTAACATTTTTGAAAATAATTTAATTTCGAAGAAGAATTTTATTATTTATAAAGATAGTTGAAATTTTAACGAGAATTTTATTAAAATTTTTGAAAATAATTGAATTTCTGCAATAATTTGTAACATATCTCGGAAATTCAATTTTTTTTAGTGTTTTGGACTAAAATTCTTTTACAAAATCCATTATTTTTAATAATTTTTGAAATTGTTTTTTGAGAATTTCACAATTCATTTGTTTATAAAATTTTAAAAAGAAATCGCAATTTTTTAAAAATAGTAGATACTTTAAAATCATTGAATTGGGGAAAATTTTTGAAGATAATTGACATTTTGACAAAAATTTTATTAAAATTTTTTAAAAGAATTGAATTTTTTCCAAAATTTTTATTCAAATTATGGAAAATAATTGAATTTTGAAGAAAAATTTTATTATTTATAAAGATAATTGAAATTTTAACGAGAATTTTTTTTTAAATTTTGAACATAATTGAATTTTTGCAAAGAATTTTATTACTTTTGAAAATAATTTAATTTCTGCAATCAGAATTTAGATTCAGATAATCAGATTTAGGTTTTCAAAGATTTGAATTTGAAGCATTATCAAAATTCAATTATTTCAAAAAAATCACGCTATTATGCTTTTAATATTCAATTATAATTTAAAATATTAACTGAAATTATTATTTAAATCAATTTTTTATAGAAAATTCAATTATTTAAATACAAAATTAAATAATTTATTGAGTAATTAAATGTTTCTTAAAATTGAATGCTCATAAAGAATTTTATCAATAAATTTTTAAATAATTGAATTCTTTTAACGAATTTTAATAATAAAAATTTTTTAAGAATAATTACATTTTTCGAGAAATTCGATTAAAATTGTATTAAAAATAATTGAAACTGTGCAATGAGTTTTATTATTTATGAAAATAATTGAATTTATGAATGGAATTTCATATTTTACGAAAATAATTGAATTTCATTGTTCATAGAAATTAGAAATCCTAGGTTGTCTCAGGAGAACCTAGTGACGTCCAGGGTCCCATCAATTCGTTGATATTAGAATATTCCTAGGACCCAGGGATGCTTATAGTCCATTAGGGTTACTGTCAGAAAAAAAAGAAATTCCTATCCAGGCAAAATTCTAGGACTAGACTTTAAATACTAAATTTTAGTAGGTACAGTAACAGTAGGTATGTTTCTCAAAGAGATACAGCGGAACACGTTCAACGTAACAGACAGTTGAAATAATAGATGACTGCCATACAATGCCAGTTCTAAACAATGTAACTGAATTTCAGTCACCTGAGAGAGTTCTTACTTTCGCATCTCAATAGAGAGATGAATTGACGATAACTAAGGAGAAGGCAGCAAGGTAAGTAGTTCACGGCCAATAATAGTATTCGACATACCTAGATCAAGCTTCCTATTGTTAG